ACACCAATGGTGCTATGGCCGCTAATTTTAGCTAAATGCTTTCTTTAAAATGTAATTTGCATTTGGTTTCCCTCCACAGACCCCACAAATGCTCATGTTCTCCAGGGCTCCGCCTGTAGGTTTCCTTCCTCATACTCACAAGGGATGGTTGATGTTAGGCCCAGCTGCAGAGCTTGGCCCTTTCTTGCTCTGCTGGAATTGCACTTCACAGTTCCTTGTTCCCCATCCTTGATGCCCAGATGGATGCAGTCCTCTACCCCATTTAAGCTTTTTGCACTGAAATACTCTCCTCTTGCCTCTTTATCCTCCTCCTTCAATAATCTGCATTGTGCTGGTATTAATCCCAGCCAGAGGACTGTTGTGCTGAAGACTGAGCACAAAGCCAAGGCTGGTGCCCTAAAGAGCTTAAAACCTCACTCTATTTTAGGGGCAAATTATGCAAAACAAAGCATTCACAGCATTGTTCAACAAGCTGGGGAATTTCTTGAGAAATCTGTATTACGTTAAACAATTAAGCTGGACTCTTAAATAAAAGCAGGAATGATAATCCTGCTGCTAACAGCAGCGCTTATCAAGAGTAACTGGAATCATTTGACTGATTGCCTTGCTGTGTATCGAAGCCCAGCACTGTTGTGGTTGAGACCAAGAAGTGATATCCACAGCAACGTGCTGCTGTGCCTCTGGAACATCTTTATTAATGGCATACAGCAGAGCCCCTGCTGCTCCTGGCTCTTACCTCCAGATTTATGGCTCACTTCCACGGCCTTTCCCACTACTCTTAATATATTATAACAGCACTGTTCATACATGAGCTTTTCCTGTTAGGGAGACAGCAGCACGCTGGTAGAATTGCTGCAGATGAAGTCCCAGGGGAAGGCATTGGTGGCAGGCACAGTTTATCTGCAATCTGCAATTTTTCCAGCTGTATCCAGAATGAAGAAGTCATGCATAATTTAATATCATCTGATTACAATCATTCCATGAATCTACACTATTTAATAGCAAGTGGTCCCTTCCAGTATATGTATATGTGTATATATATATTTAGCCAATCTGATGGAATTTCTTTATTAGTAAGTTCTTATTAAATTTGACAAGGTGATAACAAAAGCCTAAAGAAAAGTATTATGTTTTATTATAGTCTATAGTACTTTTCCACAAAGGTTAATATGGACTCACCATTCCTAATAATTAAATGGCAATACTTCTGCTGTGAATGGCCAAACCTCACAGTCTTGCCCTTTCAAGAACAATCCTTCACTTCATATTTATACTCTGCTTTTATTCTATGGTTTTCCTTACCCTTGCAGAAATTTAGCTGTTTGGTTTTTCCTCTCCAAGTAGTACTGATACGTTATAGTAAAATACAAAATAAAATCGACTGATTGAGACAATTCTAAAGCTGTCAACATATTTTGTTCCCTAACTATACATCCAAATCATCTCCAAGGTATTGTAGTCGTCTCTTGGAGTTGATAAGCCATTTAATGTATTATTCTGGTGACAGAAAAGATGGCATTTGCTACAAGCGTTTTTATGATTCAGTAGTTTTTATAGAGACTAGAAAACTAAGCAGCAGATTTACACTATAACAAAATAAAAGCTGAGATCTCATCTGCCTGATGAATGACTAAAGCAGCTTTCATCCACAGATTTTCAGCTGATCTGCCTGAAGGTGGAGAACTTATTGTTCAGGACGTTATAGCGGTACCTTGAGGCTATAATCAAATGGTGAATTGAAGACTGCATGCATACAGGGGGTAGAAATACTGCTAACTGTGGGCCAGTTTCCATCTAAGCCAGATGTGTTAAGTCAATAAATTCAAAAGAAAAAGGAGGCACAAGGTAAAGAGAAGTTCTATATGCTTGAACACGGAGTGATGCACCAGAGCTGCTGCTCTGCTCAGCCAGCTGGCTGCTTGCTCGTGGTGTCACAGCAGAGGCTTTTTTCATTTTCAAAAGGAAGTAAATGCAAGGACAAAGGCAGTTGAGAAGGGCCATTACATAGAAAAGATTTGGCATCAACAGACAGGCAGAGTATTACTGGCTGCCTTACTCCTTAGCAGACATATTAGATAATTCCCTCCTTTGCCAAGCAGTGAGTCAGTGGTTGAAATGAGAGGAGGGCTCCGGCCTCTTGACTTCCCTACTCCACATCTGATCTGGGATTGCTCCAGCTGTCTTCCAGCAAAGGTCAGCTTCAGAGACCAACTTCAGTAGCAAACGCTTAAAGCATATTTGATGTGGGAGGACAAGCAAGTCAGGCTTCCCTGTGCTTCTGAAAAGGAGGGAAGCACTTATGGTACCTTCCACCAAGGGTTAACCAGGCTGTTTGGAGCCCACAAATGTCAGCTGCTCAAATAGCTGTGAGGATGTGAAGCAGCATCAGATCTGAGCCCGTGGAGTACACAGAAAGTCCTCTGAGGCCAGTGGAAATTCAGAACAATCCCAATGACTGCATTTCTATGCATGGGCATTTTGGTGCTTTCCATATGACTTTTAAGCCGTATGCAATGCCAGCTTCCAATGATTTGCCCTATATTTGAACTTTACTTGCAGCCTCCCACTTGCTTAGCTGTAAGTGTGATTGTAACAAATCCATTTCAACCCCTTAGTTAATTTGTTTCTGAAGCCTTTCTCTTTCAGAGTGTGTAATTAAACTAAAAGAACCTGGAAAAGCCCCTTACAGTAAATAATTTACAAGTTCCTCCCAGGGGACATTTTTTAATTGTGACTCCTCTGGTCAGATCTTACTGAATACTCTGAGATAGCATTCCCTGCTGAGATCCTAAAGTGTAATTAACTTCTTCCTTTGCTCACAGTACTTTTCCTTAAACTATCCATTTCTTATGCAGGGCAGGCAGACTTGTTTATAAACAAAGTAGAACCTGATAGACACTTTGTCATGAGAATAGCAATAATGACATTCGCTGCAACAGACAGGGGCACATCCATTTGGGGAAGGATGATACTGTTTGGAAGCAATTTTTATAAATCCTACCCTGACAATCCAGCCCTGATACAAGAGAGCAACCAGGCAGCCTAGACTCCTCTCCTTCTTGGCAGCCTGCCTTGTTCCCCAAGTGCCATTTTATGCATAGCAAACGTAAATAATTCTGATGCACCTACCAACCCCCTAACCTTTGTGCTTCAGAAACACTGTTATATACCATCAAACTGACAGTGATTTCATGTTATGTGGCAAAAAGAAAAACCCAGAGCGACAGCAGCAAGCTTCGGGTGCCAAATGAAAGCTGTCACATTTATTTAGCTCTGATTCTCAGGACAATATACATAAATATTGTTTTACTGTCCCTACCAGCCAAATGTTAAGGGCTATCTCCATCAGCCAAGGTCCTGTGGCCAATGAGGCTGTGATGATCTCCTCCTGATTCAGGAGTGGCTGGCAAGAAACACTGTGCCAACATCTCTTGCTACCAGCGATGCAGTGTATTACATAGCTCCCTATTTATTTCTCATTGCATTCTAATCAAACATGGTAAAAACAAAAAACAAAAAACAAAAAAAAAACCCCTCAGCTTCAGAACCAACCATCACAGCTTGTGGAATCACAGAATCATTTGAGTTGGAAAGGACCCTTCAAGGCCATCTGGTCCCACTGCCCCGCTCTGAACAGGAACACCTAGAGCTATCAGGTGCTCAGAGCCCCATCCAGCCTGACTGCAGTGTCTGCAGGGATGGGGCACCCAGCACCTCTCTGGGCAACCTGTGCCAGTGCCTCACTGCCCCTATTGTAAGATTTTTCTCTCTTATGTTTAGTTTATATCTCCTTTCTTTTAGTTTGAAACCATTTCCCCTTGATTTAAGCTTCTCCTCAGCTTGAATGTTACAGCAGGAGGTCATTAGCATCTAGTTATGTTCTTTTCTGCTGGTCTCTTGATTTGTGCCAGAATTGGTGTAGCATTCATGCAGTCGTGCTTAGAGTCATACTACCAAAACCATGGAACCATGCCTCAGGATCAGTGCTAAGCCTCCAGGGTTAGACCTTGAGGAAGGACACCAGTAAAAGCACACTGATTTTGGTGGGCTAAAAGGATGTAGCCGCTTGAATAGGGCTGGACTTAATGCATGCATTTAAAACATTTATCGGAATTGGGATCCAGGTTTCTGCTGTGAAAAATGCTGGCATCAGCGTAGCTTTGTTGATGTCCAAGGCAGATAGTGCCATATGGCACAGGGCTCATCCTAATGTGATCAGTGAACTCTAACAGCCCTGCAGACAGACCTGTTATGCACGAAACCTGCCCCATCTTTTCTCTCTTGCTCTCTTTATGTCAAGAGAAGTTCAGAAATGAAGAAGGGATTAAAGCTCTGCCAGGACAGAAACTGTGAGAAAACAGCAAAAACAGTCCAATTTTCTCATCACATTTATTCCCCTAAGGTCTTGAACTGTAAGAGCCTGCCTGCCTCCTGTAAGGCAGTGCAGCTGACAGCACTGAAGAGCTGAGAGGAGCTGGAGGCTGCTCTGCTGCATGCACCAACACTGTCATCCCAACCCATGAACACCTCTCACTCTGCATAGTTTGCAGCACACCAAGTGAGAAAATGCTTCTTTCATTTGCTGGGATGAGCTGCTTTGATACAGAACTGACAGACGGCCAAGTCTGATCACCATCACTTTACTAAACAGCCCACAGTGCAAACTGCTCTCAGCTCCTCGTTCAGGTTGCAGCTTTTCTTTAAACATTGGTGGGAAGCCCAGCAGGTCAATATTAAAGGTGGGCCAGGCTCTTTCATCCCATCATCGCTCTCAAGGTATTGCACTCACAGCACCTTTTGTCTGCTCAGGGGCAAGTTAAAACCTCCATCCAACCCAATGGGATATTGTGAATGGCTCATACAAAATTACATAGGTTGAAGTAACATTGAATATTACTTCACCAAAATAATTGAGAATGCACTGATCACATCTGAGACAACATGACAAATTTACACTGAGACAAAAAAACAAACATATGCAGAAGTCATAAACACGAAACTTTTGTTATTAGCAGATACTCCTTTTATTGTGAGACCACTCTAAAGAGCCAAGCAAAACCAGTGTTATTTGAATACAGAAAAATCAGCTCAGACTTTTTTGGAATCACCTTTTTCAGCCCAGCTTGCTGTAGGTCTTCTCTGTAGCAGCAGGCAGTTCACTTGGAAACTGGAATAATAAAACTGTGAGTGCCACGTAGCTTGTTCCTCACAATTATTATGACAAGAAATGACTCCTAGTTACTAAAGAGTCGCATACTCTTATTTCTATCGGTTCCAGAATAAGAATGCACTACAGGTATTCGTTAATTAGAAACAAATCAATGCAATTTGCATTACCATTACCACATTTACATCGCTGTATTTTGTTGTTGTTGTTGTTCTTGCAGCTCAGAGGCAAATATGCCCCAGCATCATGCATGACTATTAGCAAAGTTCTGACTGATGGACATGTAGTCTTTGGTTGGTCACTCTGAAGGCAGGATGGTACCAAGGCACTTCTAGCAGTCTTCATAAAGGATTTCATCTACTTGGACATCATTTTCTGTCACAGGTACAGATTCACAAATCTGTTCCCTAAATGCCAAGGCAATCGTGTAAGGCTTTCCACTGGGATGTTTCATACATCTTCCAAGATAGGTATCATAATATCCTTTCCCTCTTCCCAATCTGTTGCCTTTTTTGTCAAACCCTAGGCCTGGCATGAAGATAAGGTCAAGACCGCCTGTAGAAAAACAAAATACACATTAATGGATGCGATGTGGATTTCCTGATGGCTGGACTACATCCAGATAATTTTATGCATAGCAAAAATGCTAGCTTTGTGTTTTGCAGAATGGTTCCCTTTCTTTGATCAGATGAAAAATACCTTGAATGCTAAGCCTGTGAATTTACATTTTCATCTTATCAACTGAATACTAGCTCAGCTGTAAAATAATCAGACCTTGAAAAGCTAGAAAGAAAAAAATCTACCTTATAACAAATTTATTTTATCACTTTAACCTCACACTTGCAAATACAAATGATTATGACTATAAATCTAGACAGAGATTGAACTCAGAGAAATTAAATTCAGGAAGAATCAGAAAATTAAATGAACTTCAACATTTGCCACAAACATTGAAAAAGAATAAAGAAGGAGAGAAGAAAGATTATGCTCTCTCTTGCATAAGTGAGAAAAAGCACCTTCTGGACACAGCTGTTAAGATGTCACAAACCTTTGAACACTCATCTTCCCAAAACCAAAGAGGCACGAAGACAATATATTCTGAAAGTTCTTCTTTGCCAGGTATGTAAAGGGATTGAGTTGACACAACATCCATCCATCCACCACGCACAGTCGCAGCCACTCTGATGCTTCCCATCCCTTACACAAAGATTGTTCTTTTGGCATTAGAAATCTTGCAAGACATTCTCTAAACAAATGAATTTGGCTGCCTTGGTACTGACTGCTGAACTCAGAACACACCACTTACTAGTTTCACAGTGCAAATAAAATCCTGCATTACTTGCTGCTGCAGCAGATGGACACTTAAGGAAAGAAGGTGAGGAATGGAAGGGGAAAGCTAGCATGAACGAAAGCACAGCTAATATGAGCCTGGAAAGAAAGCAAACGCTGCATCTCCATCCTCTGTTTCTTCCTTATAGGAATAGTAATACCTTAAGAAGCACGTTCCTAATTACTTTCTGCTTTGTTACCAGAGCTGGGATGCATCAGGTATTTTTCTGCTTTTCCTACATCCAAACCAAGTTTCTGCTGCCATTTTGGACTGCACAGCTCTCACCACTTTCAGTTGAAGAACACAACTCAGCATTCAAGGAGAAACATGGGAGCATGTACTGAAAGAACCAGAGCTGAGCAGAGCTTTTTAGCTTCCAGGGAACCCCAAGTGAGATCAAGAATCAACTCTGAACTCAACTTGGAAGAGTAGACTAAAACTGCACAGAAGACCAACTCATTTGCACACGCTTCTCAAGCTCCTGGAGATTGTCTTCCACTGCTCATCATTCAGAGAGGAGTCACTGATGTGAACAACTATCCATCATGATCTGACCAAATTAGAACACGGATATAAAATATGCAAGGCAATGCAGTAAGAGACCCTTAGAGAAGATTAATCTTATAAAGCTGGCATCATGCAGTTAGCAAGAGTGGTTTTTTTTTTTAAAAAAAAAAGGTCAAGGAAATACAGAGAGGGAATTAGCCAAAGGAGAGGCTACATAGTAATACTGGTTGATGTAAAAGGGAGCCCAAGTGATTCACCACACTGCAGTCAACTTTTGTTTCATAAGAGAGACAATTGGTGAATAACATACAAAGAAGAAAAGAGGCAACAGAGAGGAAATACAGTGTCCCCTGAAGACAGATGCCGTTTTAATGGTATTACCACACAGACCATGATGCACCATGACAAATCTCAGTTTGTGAGTAAAAACCGACATTTGCCAATTGTCAGATCTATGGACTAAAATGTAAGAACCAACTGGTCTTTCCTGGTTATCATGATCAGTAATGGAGATTATGCATGCCAAGCCCTCCTGCAATTCATACTATGCTTATTCCTTGTTCTATCCATCACTTGCCTCACGCTAGCAAACCAGAGGCATTCAGGTGGCCCAGGAACCTGTATGTACCAAGCATCAATCATGCTTAGAAAGAAACTCATTCTAGCATACAATTGTTTCAAGCTTTTTTCACTCCATGTGACTCTCATGGCAAAAGGAAGAAAACATTTGCAGTTGCTACTGCTAGTAGGTAGGATTGTACACAAGGGGCAAATTTGCTAGGCAAAAAGGTGCCATTTCTCTTTACATCTATATCACAGACAGAAGAAAAGCAAGCCAAGGGAAGCACTAAGGGAAGGAGGAATTGGCAAGAACAGTGCTGGGAAGAAATATATTTTCTGTGCCGTTTAACTGATAGCACAGGGCATACTGGAGTGAACGTAGATGCATCAAAGCACTGTTTTCTTCTGGGTTCTCTGGAGAAATTGAGTCTGTTCTAATGACTCAGCTTCCTCTATAATCATGGAATTTTTATGCCAAATAACTCAAACAAGCTTGTGCAAATCTCACTATGAAAAACAATGCTGTAAATGCTTTAACAGCTATCCTCATTTATTTTTTTTCCATTGGAGCACTGTGATACTAAATGCCTTTACTCTGACTCACAACACACTGATTGATATCCACACAACTCACACTGCACAAGATTTAAGTAAAATACCAAGCAAGACTGTCAGTAGAAAAATGACACAGCTACCCTGCACCGAGCCTGAAGGCACTTCAAGAATTTGCCCCAAAATCCAACTCTGGGAGCTAGACTGAACGGCAGAAAGCTGCATGCAGAAAACACTTCCCCTCCGCACAACCTGGGGAGCAACAAAACCTCTTGCGGTGCCTGCGGCGGCGTGGGGGAAGAGCCGTCACAGGATGAGAGGTGACACACAGATGAGACCAAGATTGCAGACGTGTAAGATTACTATCAGTGGCAAGCAGACATCAACAGGATGGCAAGGGAGGGAAAGGACATCTTACTCCTAAAGGCACGTGCCCTCCTCACGCTGACCAGCCTTCCAGCCCTGCAGGATCACGAGTTGCCACTTAGGATACCCTGCAAGTTTGCTCCTTTCCCACATCCTACTTCTCTCACTTTCACTCTGTGGAAATGCATCATTGTCCCTGACACCCCATCAGTTTTTATAGGCACTGTAAATGAGGCCTTGTGATCTTCACCTACTTCTGCCCCTCTCCTTGTAATGTTTCTCTCCCCTGCATGCCTTCAGTCCTTAACTAAAGGCTTGTGGATCCCTGTGACAATACACCAGGAGCCCAGGGGAGAAAACCAACACTCACAGTACGCTCACTGTCAAGAGGTCTTTTGCTGCAGGTAATCTGCACTCCTCCTGCAGTACTTACAGAACGTCTGCAGAATGCTAAGGGCTGAACACAGTCTCAGGAAGCAATACACTGCACTAGCCCAGCTCTCCTATGAAGAGAATACTAATGCTTCTTATAAACTTTAATTAAGCTACAGGGTATCCAAGTAAGGTTGGCAATTACAATGACAATCACCTAATACTCGCTGTATCTGTGACATGAGCTCTTGTGGCCACAGCTCCTTCTACTGTGTAGCACTGTGTGTGAAATAATATACGCTGACTTATCAATGTGGGCATGCAGCCATGCTGACATGGCCACACAGCTTTCATTTATACAGCTAAATAAAGCAGGGCCAGAAAGCAAATTCATTTGCAGGATCACAGCTCGTCCATACCGCTCAAGTACCCGCGCACTGCCTGGCACTGTGAGAGACCAAAAGAGATGAGACAGGCCAAGTTCTCCGTAGTGGGGACAGGGCTTCTCTGTGCCACTTGGTCTTGCTTTATTTAGCAATATGCAGTCACAGCTTCAGAACCTGCCATGTGGCTGTGCAGGCACACTTTGTACACACATCCATGTAGACAAACCTTATGTCACAGAAAAGTGAAATGACTGGCCCAAGGACTCAGGAAATGTGTGGCAAAACTACATGCAACAGGCAGGTGTGCACACTGCGTGTCCCCCACTTAACCAGCAGACCAAAATTTTAGTACCCTCTCTCTGCTGTTTTAAATAGGGAATACAAAGTTTCATTTCCTCTAGGCAGCTGGTGAATTTCCTCCCTTCAGCAATGCATTTCTCATTACCCTTTATGATGATATCAGGTTTGATTTGTTCCCCAGGGAAAGATTTGCTCCTTGCACCTGATTACTTCTCTTCTCCTTACTCTGATGTTCCTATTTGAAATGCCAAGAGGCATTTTCTGAAGCACTCTTGACAATGGTTAATTACAGCAGGGTCCATCAGAGTGCACAGGTATGGGTCACGGAAGGGCTGCCGGGGCCTTGTCCCAGGCAAGGCAGCCAGCACGATCTCCTGGATCTGAGTCAGCCTCACCTGCCTGCTGCCACCTAGGTGTGGGTCATGCATATCCCCTGCACAGCCAGACAGTCCTAACGGAGATGGAACAGCAGCACTGCCATCCCAGGGACACAGTAAACACAGGCTGCATCTGTGAAGTAAACATTAACTTGAGTACTGTATCCTAATATTGAAAGTACCAGTCTTGGCGACATGCAGGGTATGGGCCAATGACTTGTAATAACTGAGAAAGTTCTAATTAATAGCAGAATCATTACTGTAACTTTAATTACCATCAGCACAGTTATGCCTTATCTCTTGGGTAGGTGCTAGCTTCTCAATGTACACTGCAGGGCACAGATCATCATCTGGTTCTGTATCTGCAGAGCACCTAACTCACTGTGGTCTAGGTTAATCACTAGATCTCATGGGAAACAATTCCACAGGAGCAAATATTTCAATTATGCTACAGAAAAACAAATTCCTTTCTTTTTATGACTAGCATTAAGCCTTCCCCTATAGAATGCCCGGAGTGCCCCTTGCACCACTGCTGAGATTGCTAACCTCCCATTCCTTCCTTCCAGATGAAAGTGTGGAAAAATACTGCCTTTCATTTCAAACACATCATCTCTCTGCTACACACCTTCCTTACTCAACATTTTATCTAAATCCATGCACAACTATGACGCACCCACCAATGTCTTTTGCACACATACATTCACCCTATCTGCTGTGCCATCTATGTGCCACAGCTAATTGGTCTATTAGCACGACTTGGGACAGCTTTCGTTATTACTGCGATAAAATATTTTGCAGAAAATA